TGGAGGTGGTTGGTAGTGGTTAGTGATGGGTGGCTAGGCTATGTCTGACCGATGCCACGTGTCAAGATCTACGAGTCGGCTGAATACCACTATATCACTTGCCCTCACTCTGAAGGTCATAGCAATTGAAGTTGTTTGGCGCGCTGCATTAAAGCCTCGACTTCGACCAAAGAGAGTATAGTGTACTTGCATGGAAGCATTGGCCTTGGTGGTAGAGTTCTTCTCAGGGGTTGTATTGCAACTGCTCCTCTACTATCCCTTTGTGTCAGTAAAGGACCATATCGGGCCGAGGGATCATGACCGAGGCTTGTATGGGCATAGGCTGTCTACATTCGTTGTTCGTACCTTGCACGGACATTGATGCCTTCCGTTATATATCCATATGCAGGACGAGCGTCGGGGTCGATTGAATGAGGTTGTGCACGAGATGGTGGAGGTTCGGTTCGGCGTATCCTTTAGCCAGAGTGGATGGGTGAACCGGCCCCGTAGAGCCTGTCGATTTGGGCTGTCAAGTCGGCAAGTTCGAGGCCATTAGATCAATTGGATCTAAGCCGTACATTTATCTTTAAATAGGGAGGCTAGTTGAGCGACTCCCCACCATTTGCTTGAAACCTTCTGCCTGGGAGCTATTGAGGACACCTTGGCTATCAACAACCAATTCCCTTAAACTTTCTTTAACAAACATAATTAGGTAAAGATTCCTATCCTCAACATGTCAACCTCGGATTCGGGTTATGAAGAGTATAACCTTCTAGACAAGAGTACTCCTAGCAACACTCCTAGTAGTGAAGGGAGTGACAATAGTGACTCCAAGAGCTCCTCTTGAACATCTAATGCCCAAGTGCTAAGGGAGAGAGTCACATCTCGCGGGGCCGAGCATGATCGACAAAGTGTGGGCTCTATCAATGAGAGCACTACTTCCACGTGGTCGAGGGCCGATGCCCTAGGGAACATTCTTGGGAACCTTGATGTTATGGATGTGGAAGAGGCTAAGGATCTAGTCGAGGCTGGGCACCGAGGTCTGGCATTGGGGTGTTACCCTCGATTTGACTTGGACAAAACTCTCGGTAAGGTGCAAGTTAGCACGTTGGTCGAGAGGTACCACATTTTGGGGGACTATAGGGTTAGAGTTCCAATGTGGGTGATAGGTCGTGACTTGCTCCTAAAGGGGAGGTGCGCATCCACGAGTATTACCTTCACTTTGGGCTACGGTTTACCTTGCAGTTCCTTATCCCCGAGATCCCAAACCATTACAACCTCAACATTAGCCAGCTCACCCCCAATGTCGTTAGGACGATAGTAGTCGTATTGGTGATGGCCCATCTTTGAGAGGTGATAGTGGCGTTGGATATATTTTGATGTCTGTTTGAATTGAGGGAGCACCTTGATGGGGAGGACTTGTTTTACTTCCAAGGCTGATTAGGAAGGGGGGTGGACAACCCCTCGTTTATCCACAACTAGAAGAAGTCATCTTCATGAGTTGCCCCGGGGGCTAGTCCTTTCGGTCTGGTTGGGGGTGACCAAATACTTTAACTGAGAGGATAAAACCATGCAGTAGTGATGAGGAGAAGACCGTGATGACTTGGCTTCAACTGGGAGGGATGATTCACGTTGGACCCTTGGTGAAGGTGGAGGAGGCCTTGGTAATGGTTGGCCTTAGTCTTGCCCTCCTCGGTATAGACGCTCCTACTATCTGTCAATTGTGAAGTTGCTTGAATTTTGTTGCCATTCTACTAACTCGTTTGCTTCTCTTGTTCCCATAAATGGAGAGCAGCAGCAAGAAGGCAAAATTGCTCATGTGGCCGCAAGTCAACGGGCCGAGGCGGCCCGTAGAAAGACATTAGCGTAGAAGTGCCCTGCCGAGAGGGCCCGAGACCTTCAGGCCAAAAGGCTTTAGTTATGCGAGCACCGTCGGCCTAAGGGGATCTCGGGTGGGTCACATTAAGCGAAGCCTCAATTGTCTAATCCTTGGGACAATGTGCCACTCACCGCTCATCGAATCTTACGGCTGACGTGGAGTGTTCGAGAAGGGAACTCCTTGTTAGTCCCAGGCGTCTGTCAATGACTAGAAATTGGCATGGTCTTCCCCAAGGACCTCCAAACCTTGACTCAACAATCGGTGAACTCGGTCCTTTCATACATGCAGATGATCTTTTACTCGGTCGGCCTTTGTGAGAAGGTTGATGTGCTAATTCAGCAACTTCGGTGGGTGCAAGAGGAGATCGAGCATCTGAAGCAGCACGGGGCCAAGGCGCAATCCAGTCGGGAGGTAGCTGAGAGTTGGGTATGCAACAAGCATGATCGTCGCAAGAAGGTCGAGGCCGAGGCAGCCAATAAAAAGGAGCTCATGAAGGAATTGAAGTCTTCCTTGGCCTCAATGGAGTAGCAATTGGAGGAATCGGCCGTAAAGGCGATCGAAAAATATAAGGCCTTAGAGGAGCATGAGATAGACTTGATGTCCTTTTCCTCCCAGACTTACTTAGAGGGCTTTGAGGACTACAAGGCCCAGGTGGCGAAGGTCCTTCCGAGCATTGACACTGGCTAGTTAAATCCGTTCGCTGCTAAAGCTCGTCAGGTAGTAGATATATTGGGGACGGACGACAACCCGACTATCGGTGCTACTACTGATGACACTGCCCAGGCCACCACTCAGATTGGAGGAGGCCAATAATTTTTTTTTCTTGTTTTATTTTGTTTGGGCCTACGTGCCCTTGATACTTGTAATTTTTTTTCTTTTTCTTCTTCTTTTTGTAAGGGGTCGACGCCTCCCCTCAACTGAATACAACTTGAGTTTCTTGCCAAAGATGTTCCTCTTAACTTCTTTTCTTTTCTTCTTTTAGCTTTGTGCTAGGGGCTGATGCCTCCCCCCGAAGAGACATCTTTGTAAAGAAACTTGCCATAGTAATCCTTTACTTCTAAAGTGTCTTTTACTTAGTCCTTTTACAAGAACGTTACATATAAGAATCCTATAGGCCGATGCTAACACCATGAGTCATTTTTTACTTTGTCTTGGAGCTTTTTGCCTTAGTAAAAAAGAAGGAAGTCGATTGTGGCCAAGGCCAACATCAAGCCCAGCATGTCATCGCGTAGGGGCTTTGTGGCCAAGGTCACAAAGTTTTGCCTTAGTGGAGAATCAATATTTACTTAGTTTATTGTTCATCATGTGTTTTTTATTAAGTAATTGGTCGGTGTTGCCTCATTGGCCTCCAAAGACTCTTCTTTATGGGTCTTTGAGGCCGAGGCCTTTTACGAGCGTATAACTCGCAAGGTATTAACTTACTAATAGTAGCTGAGGTCTTAGAAGTCCTTGCCTTAGTCATAGAAAGTGAAAACGCAGCTAGGTGTATGACTCACAAGGTATTGTATGCCTTGGGGATGAAGCCTTTTACGAGCGTATAACCTTAAGGAAGGTCGTGTGCTGCAGTCGACCGCTAAGGGGTCTTGGCTGCTGGAGGGAACAAGAATGTTTATACAAAAATAGATCCGAAGTGAGAGGAACTTTGCACTTTTCATTCTGAACTTTTCACTAAGGTATTTACAATTCTATTAATAGTACATTCAGAGATTCTCAGAGTTCAAGTGTGAGGCACCAGTCTTCCACTCATGTGTTTTAGCCAAAAGGTATTGGGTCCTATTGGTTACTTGATTCTATAGGGCCCTTCCCAATTTGGACAAAGCTTTTCAATGTCGGGCTCATGGACAATGACTTTTTTGAGGATGAGGTCACCTTCCTTGATGTGACACTCTTTGACTTAGGAGTTGTAGTATCTTATGAATCTTTGTTGGTATGCCATGACCCTAATTTGGGCTTGTTCTCATACACCTTCCAGTAGGTCAAGGTTGCTCTTTAACTCATCACTATTCTCAGCTATACCTCAATTCGGAGCATCGGTTACTCGATCTCTATTGGGATGACAACCTTTGCCCCATAAGTCAAGTTGGAGGGGGTTTCACCTGTGGCAGTTCGAGGTGTCATTTGGTATGCCCAGAGGATATTGTATAGTTCATCCGCCCAAAGCCCTTTAGCTCTGTCTAATCTTGCCTTCAGTCAGCCTACGATTGTTCTGTTGGTGACCTCAGCTAGCCTGTTAGTTTGAGGATAGCCAACCAAGGTTACGGTTGCCTTATCCCGAGCTTCCACACCATTCTCTAAACTTAGCATCATCAAATTTTCATCCGTTGTCGATGACAAGCATGTATGGTATGTTGAACCGGTAGATAATACTCTTCCAAAAGAAACTTTGGATCGTTTTAGCCATAATGGTCGCCACGGCCTCGGCTTCTACCCACCTGGTGAAGTCTACTGCCACGACAAGGTGTCTCTTGTTTCCCGTAGTTAGGGGGAAAGGTGCAAGGAGGTCCATACCCCACATTGCACAGGGCCATGGGCTATTGAGGACCAAGAGGGTCGTTGGTGGCCGATGAAGGATGTTGGAATGCCTTTGGCATCAGTCGCACTTCTGCACTAACTCTGTAGCATCCTTTTGGATGGTTGGCTATCCTTGCATGAGTGCTTTCTGTGCTAGGGTTCTGCCCCCCCCCCCCCAAGATGATTGTCACAGATAACTTCATGGATTTCTCTTAGCACATATTCACCTTCGTCTCGGTAGAGGCATCTTAGATAGGGCAGGATGAAGGATCTTCTATACAACTTGCCCTCGAATATGGCGTGTCGTGCTGGCTGCCGTCAAACTCTCTTTGCCTCATTCTTATCTGGTGGTAACTGCTCATATTGCAAGAGGGCGAGAATGGGGTCCATCCAGCAAGGCACAAATTGGACTGGGCACACTTTCCTCTCTTCGCTGCTAGGATGTGTCAAGTTTTCGATGTGCATAGCGTGGCCGAAGGCCGACCCTGAGTAGCTAGCAAGTTTTGACAGGGCATCGAGACGTGTGTTCTTGGCCCATGGGACCTGGTGCAGGGCGAAGTGTTGAAAGTGGCTGGTTAACTTTCGAACTTTGTTTAAGTAACTGGCCATATTTGGCTTTTTGGCTTCTTACTCTCTATTCACCTGGTTCACAACCAATTGTGAGTCGCTAAAGCCTCTGATGCACTTTTTTCCGAGGCCTTTGGAAAGTTGGAGGCTGGCTAGTAGGGCCTTGTACTCAGCTTTATTGTTGGAAGCGCAGAAACCAAACTGCAATGCATACTCTAACACGTTGCTATTCAAAGTGGGAAGTATGAGGCCGGCTCCGCTTCCCTTGGCATTGGAGGATCCTTCTACGAACAAAGTCCAAGACAACGATTGCTCTTTCTCGTGGTCGGGGGCCTGGTTGTGGTTGTGGTTGAAGGTGCATTCAACCAAGAAGTCTACCATTGCTTGTGCCTTTATAGTAGGTCTCGACTGGTTGTGTAAGTCGAACTCTAACAGATAGGTATCCCATTTAGTTAGCCGACCCAAGGTCTCATGTTTAGAGAGCACCGATTTGAGGGACTGGTCGGTTAACACCGAGATATTATGGGCTTTAAAGTAAGGCCTCAACTTCTTGGCCGAGATCTCTAGCGCAAATGCTACTTTTCCTACTTTTGAATATCTAGTCTCAGCCTCATGAAGCACCTTGTTGATGCAATATACAGGCCTCTGAACCCCCTCGTCTTCTCGAACCAATACTAAGCTAATCGTCTTGTTCCCGACCAAGAGGTACAAGAATAAAGTCTCTCTCAGGAAGGGCCTCGTGAGCAAGGGTGGTGATGCAAGGTATGACTTTAACTCTTCAAAGGCTTGCTAGAACTCTTCTATCCATTGGAAATCCTTCAACTTCTTGATGGCTTTTAAGAAGGGTATGCACCGGTCGACTGACTTGAACATGAATAGGCTGAGGGTCGTGACTCGATCGATGAGCCCTTAAGTTTCTTTGATCAATCAACGGGGTTCCATGTCTAGTATGGCTTGTACCTTCTCAAGATTGTCCTCTATGCCTCATTGGGTTTCTACATAACCCAAGAATTTTCCCGAGGTGACCCCAAAGGCACACTTGGTGGGGTTTAGCTTCATGTTGTATTTTCTCAATACCCCAAAAGTCTCATTGAGGTCTGAGGTTTGTTGGCTAGCCCTTAGGCTCTTCATAACCATTTTGTCGATATAGGCTTCGACGTTTCTTCCCATCTGCTCCTTGAAGATCTTGTTCACTAGCCTCTGGTAGGTGGCCTCGGCTCTCTTCAGTCCAAAAGGCATTACCTTGTAGCAGTAGGTGCCATTGTCGTTGATGAATGAGGTCCTCATCTTTATTAGGTTGTAGCCGGAGAAAGAATCCATGAAGCTTAGTAGCTCATACCCTGTGGTGCCATCGATGAGGTGATTAATCTTTGGTTGTAGCCAAGTAGGTTGTTCGCCTCCTTTCTGATGGCTTTCCAATGCTCTGGTACAAAGTTTCTTTTCTTTTATTGAATCGGCCTACAACTCAATTCCAAACTCAGCCTTTGAGTAATGATCGAGGGGTCAATTTCTAGCATATCAGCGATGGACCAAGCAAACACGTCAGTATTGGTTTTCATGAAGCTTACTAGTTCGGAAAATGTGTCCTGAGGGTGGCATGACCCAACTCGTACAGTTTTCTGGGGCTCGACCTCATCTAGCGGAACCAAGATGAGGGTTTTATCAGTTGGTCTTGGCCTGATGATTCATCCCTGAGGTCGAGCCCCTCTAGGGGTAGGGCTTCCTTATTCGTTCTTTTTAGTATTGCCATGTAGCATTTTGTGGCAGTAGGCTGGTTCTCCTTAACCTCTTCTACACCATGCTCTGTGGGGAATTTGATGGCGAGGTGGTAAGATAAGACGACCACCTTGAGCGCGTGAAGGGTTGGCCTCCCTATGATGGCATTATAGGACGAACCTATCTTCACGACCCAGAATTCAGTCATCCAAGTAATGTGCCAAGGTTCAGTCCCTACGGTGACCTGTAGGGTTTTCTTTCCTTTAGGCCTAATAGCTGACCTAGAGAAGCCGACGAGTGGCACATCAATGGGCTGTAGCCGGTCTAGTGTTAGCTGAATTTTCTCGAACATCTCATAGAATAGGATGACGGCTGAGGAGCAGTTGTCTATGAGGATCCTCTTCACCATGAAGTTGGCAATGGTTATTGGCACCACCAACACATCGTCGTGGGGCACGGACACCCCTCATAGGTCATCGTTTGAGAAGGAAATTAAGTCCTCTGGTGTGATCCGGAGCGTGTCGTTAACCATTTCGGAACACCAGTTTAATTATTTATAAAATTTTTCTGATTCTCATACAACTACTATCGCAGTAAATGGGTGAGAATGGGTCATATCCTTAGGGAAGCGAGGGAAAAATTAACGCATACTCAAATCCGAATAAGTGAACACAAGTGGGAAGTGCATAATTATGAAAATTAATTAACTAAACTGAGGAAAATATAGAATTTGAACAATACTGAAAGTTAAATGTGTAGAAACATAAATAAATACAGAAATAAATAAACGAAAGAAACGAAATAAAAATATGTAATCCGATATGAGGTAGCAGTCTCCAGATCTTTCCTTTGACCCTCGAACTTCTCGAGCTTGGCCTTCAATCTCACCTGGCCAAATTGCAGATCTGTAGAAAAGAAAACGAAGATCAAACAGAATGAAAATAAATTGCAGAAAAGAAATAAAAAAATTGGAATTGAAAGAAGAAAAATTAAAACTAAAATAAAGTAAAAGTGGTTGGGATCCGATTCTAGAGGTGGCAATAGTGGTGTTGGCGAACTACAAGTAGTAACCCCTCCTCTTGCCTTGGCGTTCTCCTCTTCCTCTATCCTTGAACTTCTCAAGATCAGCCTTCCGTCTTACTTGGGGGCAGAATTCATGCCTTTATCAGATAGGGCTGAGATTTGGGCGCCTAGAAATGGAGGGTGGAGATTAAGGCACCGAGGGTTGAAAGGTGGAGATTAAAAGGAATGGGTGGTGCCCTAGAGTGGATGGCTGAGATAGAGGATGGAATGGAGGGCTAAAATCTAGTGGTTAGGGGCTGAATGGTGAGGATTAGAAGTTAGGTGGCGCCCTAGGGTTTAAAAGTTACAAAGTGAGTGCCCTATAATGAATGGTGGAGATTAGAAGTGGTGGAGGGTGGAGATTAAACATATAGGGGTGGCTAAGGTTTGCTAAGGATGAAAATAATGGGTTAAAAGGCGCCCTAGAGTTTGCTAAGGAGAGGGTAGCATGCTAATATAGTAGGAGGAGCGCCATGCTGGGTTTAGCAGATAGGAGACACCCTCCTATTCTCAATTTTTCATAAAAACATCCCCTCTCTCAACTGGACTTCACACCAGCTTCCCAAAAACTGCATTTCAGCCATGTTCTTTTCCAGTTTTCCATAGAAGTTGCATAGAGACCCTCAGATGTCACAACATTGAATTTAACTATGAAAAGGGTACACTTTGACTATTCTAACGCCAAAAATACCCCTGAAATGATGACCTTAAGGTATCAAAATACAGAGTTATCACACCCCTAACTTAACCATTGCTAGTCCATTAGCAATGCTGGCTTAAAATTACACTGAGTAAAGAGATCATTCCCATTACAATATCATCCCTCACAAAATTAACCAAGTTTTCTGATTCCAACATTCTCAAACTTTGTATAGATTGGTATTGGGCTTAAGGGGTAAAACTATCTTGTTTTGAATATTACCAAAACTTGGCTTAAAAATCTTATTTACCCTACCATTTGGGATGTAGGAAATGATCAAATTTTTAACAATGTCAACCCAGACCCCCTTCAAATAAGATTTTTAAGCTAGGTTTCGGTAATATTCAAAACAAGACAGTTTTACCCCTTAAGCCCGATATCGATCTATACAAAGTTTGAGAATGCTAGAATCGGGAAACTTGGCTAATTTTGCAGATTGTCTTGATAAGCTGAGATCGATTTTTAGAATCAGGTGGGTATTCTTCTTATCATATTTGGCATTGGATTTCTACCTCTGAACTTGATATGCACACTTATTTTTATTGTTACCTTACACCGTTTGACGCGCATCTCGACACTTGCCTTAGGTGAAGAGACTCGGTTGGTAAGTGTTAGGTGATTGTCTTTAGCATTCCCTTTTCCGTTTGATGCGAATCTCGACACTTGACTTAGGTGAAGAGACACGGTTACTAAGTCTATGGTATCCATTGACCTTTTATTTTCTCTCTCTCTCTCTCTTTTTTGCAACACTACTTAGGGTAGTCCACTGTCTCTTAACAATTTGAAGAATTTTTATCTAATTTCTCAATCTTTCTCTTGTTATCTTGGTAGGGGCAAACTTGAGAGTATTTTCTAATTTCTAAACGGTTTCGACAATGTTCAAATAAGACCAATTTTTACTCCTATCACTTGCTACCAATTTCTACAAAATTCAATATTCTTTTATCAGTTTCCTCAACTTTTTCTGTTTGGGAATCTCTTTTAATGGAAAAATTTTAAAAATTTTAGTGAAATTTTAATTCTACATAATTAAAGGCTTAGCTTATGGTCTTCCTGCTCCTTTTCTTCTTCACTAACTCTCTTTTTCCTACACGGGTCCTCTAAAATCCTCTCACTCCTTAAGATTGTAATAGCCTTGGTATTTTCAAGCTGAGGGTCCTTAGGAGGTGGTTGAATTTGTTATGGAGGAAAACCCGATGGGTGATTTCTAGGGTTCACAACCGGTTGACTCAGTAGTTGCCCTACTTATCTCCTCGCCTTGGCTTCAACTAGTTGTCCTATTTGGCTTTCTAATATGGCAATGGACTACTGCTGATTTAGGATCAACTATTGAAGTTGCATGAATTAATCATCCACTGTATGGGTTTAAGGAGGTTGTGGGTTAGTTTGATACGGTTAGGGTCGGTTGGCTCCTAGGATACAACTGCTGGAATTAACTTTGTACTTGTGGCCTCTGAAATTGTTGGACCATGGAGTTAGATGGATGATGATACTGTTGGGACTGTGAGTTGGTTTGACATGGTTGAGCCGGTTGAGTCCTAGGGTAATCATTGTATTCACAGTGAGTCTGGGCTTGAGACCACTGAGAGTGCATATTTAGCAAGGTGGTTTCTTGGACTTGGGCCCTATAAGTGAAGTTGGACTGATTTTCCCACCCAGGTTTATATGGGCGAAAGAACGGGTTAGCATTGGGTTGGAAAAATCTGTTATCCGCATATACTTGGTCTGGAATGACTGGTTGACATGGTCCCACCGCAAGGCACTGGCTAACATGATGGGCCGGGCTTGCACAGATGGAACATGTTGGATATGGGCCACTTTGTTGATGAAATGCAAGGACTTGATCAAGTCTTTGGGCCATCCCATTAATCCTATCCAGTTGTTGAGACACATGGTTCCAATC